CACACCCACTGCCGTGGAGTCCATTCTGACCCACAGCGCCCCTAGAGGACAGAGTGGAACTGCCCCACAGGGTCTCCAAGGCTGTCAGTCTTCATAGAAGCCAAGTCCAAACCACACCCACTGCCAAGGAGTGGATTCCTCACAGTGCCCCTAGAGGACAGTGGGGAACTGCCCCACAGGGTTTCCTAGGCTGTCAGTCTTCAGGGAAGCTGACTGCCTCATCTTTCTCCGTCGCAGCTGGAGGGATGAAACTTAGGATCTTTCAGTTAGCCGCTGAGCGCTCAACCATATGCCCCAGGGCTCCTTAAGAATCAGTCCAGGGTGGTTGAAATTGTCTCCTTGATGGGAGGATTGGCCAGTAGAGGACGGGTCTCTCCCAGAGCCGTGTGCTCAGACCCCCCTTTCTGGTCTCTGGGATGCTGGGTGTTGGTGGCCACACTGCACAGGCACAGGATGGGAGATGTCTGCCCCTTGCTTTGCTGGTCCATCCTTCAGACCCTCTTCCACAGCTGCTTTGTCCTTGTTGCCCACAAGGGGCTGACCTTGGCCTGGCTGCCCAGATCAGGTGAGAGAGGTGGACAGACATCTTCAGCTGCTCCGTCTCTGTTAGTGCCAGCTGCTTTCTTCTTCTGTCTCCAGTCCCAGTAAATAGCAAATGTGTGGGCACAGAAGGACAGGACTCGGACAGGTTTGCAGCTTTGACCAGAGGGGTGCTTCTTTTTCACTGTGAGTGTTGCCCTCTCTCAACCCGGGTGCCCCACGGTCTCTGCCATCTGAACTTGTGGTTGTGTTTCTTGAGTCCATACCGCTTTCCAGACTTGGCCTGTCGCATCCAGTGCCTGTTCGTGTTGCTGGGCGGGAGCAAATCTTTCAGTTCGGCACGCATGTTCAAGCCCCTGCTGTGGGATGAGGGTGCCCAGTGACAAGCAGGACCCCCCCTCTCTGCAAGGGACTCTCTGGCGGGGACAGATAAGATCTGTGCCTGTCAACTGGGGAACCAATGATGAGCTGAGGTCATGCAGGGCACTGGGTGGGGTGGAGAAGTTAGGAAACAGTTCCCAGAGCACACGACCGGGGCAGCCCCAGGAGGGTGAGTCCGGAGGATAGGGTCGGGAGAGTCAGGCCAGTTAGGACAGGAACAGGAGAGTAGGTGGGAGAGATCCTGCAGGTCCCGGCTGTGCCTGTGTGAGGAGGGGAATGGAGGAGGAGGAGGGGAGGCAGAGGTGGGATGCTGAGTATGTCACTGGCTCTGTGGAGTTCTGGGGTGGAAGCCGGGTGCTGTCTGCATCCAGCCTCCGGTGTGGCTGTGCTGTTGGGGGTGTGCCGTCCGCGTCACAGCCCACGGTCCAGCCTCCGATGCAGGTGTGCTGTCGGCATCACGCCCCATGGTCCAGCCTCCGGTGCAGGTGTGCTGTGCGCGGTCCTGCCTCTGGTGTGGGCATGCTGTCCGCGTCACGGCCCCCCCGTCCAGCCTCCAGTGCAGGTGTGCTGGGTGCAGGTGTGCTGGGTGCAGATGTGCTGTCCACATCAGGTTCCCCGGTCCAGCCTCCGGTGCAGGTGTGCTGGGTGCAGGTGTGCTGGGTGCAGATGTGCTGTCCACATCACGCTCACGCTCCCCGGTCCAGCCTCCGGTGCAGGTGTGCTGCCCGCAGGTGTGCAGGTGAAAGGCTGCCTGAAGCCTCTGGTGCAGAATGTTCCACCCTGATCGTTGGCCTTTCTCTAGTCATGTATTATTGTAACTATTTGTTCAAAGCTCCTGTCTGTTTCTACTAAAACAGAAAGGCGGTTTTTTATTTTCTAAAATTAGACAGTGGGGGAGGAGTCCTAGAGGCTGCCATGACTGATGTCCACCCAGGAACATGAGTGGGTAGTCTCCAGTGCATTTGCTAAATGTAAGAAAAGTTCAAGTATAAACATTCTAAAGCAAAAAGTCCCACCACCATCAAAAGAAGGAACCCCGGCAGGGCTGTCAGTGTGGCACTGAGATCTAGCCCTGGGAGACCTGGGTCACGTGTCTGCAGAATCCACAGTAACACGTGTGCTGCCTGAAGCCTGCTCGCTCCTTCCAAGCCTTGAGATCACACTGACAGATACACAGAGACCCTACTTGTCCCACACTTGTCTCTGCTGGTCACTGCCCAGGGTGAGTCAGGGCCTACTGGCCACAGGTTCACTGACCTCAGAGACCTGGGTTCCCAGTCCTGCCACTTCTGAGTGGACACTCTGTCCCTGCATGTGCCCATTCCCTGTCGTTTGAGGCGTTGCTCAGTCTGTGCACACTTTGCTGCTGTTTGGGTGTGGACTCCTTCACTGTCGACTGCTGTTCAAAGCCTTGTCTTCATTCATGTGGAGATTGAGGTTCCAGGGTGGGCTTTGTACTGAGTCTGGTGAACAATCCACGTAACCTGGCTGCCCTCAAGTGGCGGTAGAGCCCTGGTGGCACTGTGGTTAAGCACTTGGCTGCTAGCCAGAAGGTCGGTGGTTTGGACCTACGAGCTGCTCTGCAGCAAAAAGGTGTGGCCTTTGGAATTCCAGCCTTGGAAACCCTATGGGGAAGCATTCTGTCCCACAGCATTGCTGTGAGTCGGAAGAGAGTCAACAGCAGTGGTCTTAGCACAAGTCCCGGCCCCTGAAGCTTGCAGAGCAGGGTGCGGTGGGATGGGAGTTCCACGCAGGCACTTGGTAGGTGCAGCTGGGGTCACTGTGTACCCCCGGGCCTCTCTGGGCTGCTCCTCTCTGTTGTGACACACTTGTGAGCAGAGGGGCTGAGTGCCTGCTGTGGGCTGGCTGGCTGCAGGAGCTCCAACAAGGCCATACAGGAGACTCCTGGAGCCCGCAGACGGTGGGCAGATAGACAGAGGCTCACGGTGCAGGTCTACCTCTTGTGCAGGGCTGACAGATCCTGGTGAGGGTGTGAACAGGGACCCAGGATGGGCACACCCTGGCTGCAGTCGGAAGCAGAGTGTTCCAAGCCTGAGCCCTGTGAGAGCAGCTGCTCTGGGCTTAGGGGCCCTGGAATGGGACTGGGACTAGATACACCAACAGGCATGGTCCACTGCTGCTGCCTCCAGATCAAAGCCGTGACCCTGATGGCTGGGCACAGGGAGAGGGGCCTCCCCCCATGAGCTTCCCTGGGTCAGTGTGACACGGGGAGGGCACTTGGCGTGCTGCGTCGTCCCAGTGCTAGCACGGATGCTTGTTCTGTCCTCCTCCAGAATTGCCAGCTGCACTCAAGGGGTTGGGGCTGCACACCTTAGAGTTTGCCTAATGAGCCTTTTGTGTTTCTAGGTGCCGGCAAAACCCCGACCCTGGGCAGCGGCTTCCATGTGAATCTGGGCAAGGAGTCGAGAGCACAGACCCTGCAGAATGGTACTTCCTCTGAGATGCTGCTGACCATGGGTGGTTTCTAGGAGCTGGGGTTGGTGATGGGAATGACGGATGAACACCACCCTTTCCTGAGCCCAGCCCTACCTCTGCGCACCTGCCCTCTTTGGTGGACTGCCTCATTGCCTGGTCAAATCCTTGTCACTCTCCAAGCCTCAGCGCAGGCCATTCTTCTGTGAGGACATGTTCCTGGAGTCCCCTTCCTCAGGTCATCAGGTCCCCTCCTGTGTGCCCCTCAAAGACTGTCCACCAGGCTTCTCAGAATGAGGTCTTTGTACTCAGAGACCTCACCTGTTTGTTACTGGTCTGTACAGAAAACTCATTTTTAGCATTTTGACGATGTAGTGACATTATTATTGTATTTTATGAAAGTAGTGGTCTGCAATCAGTTGGAGAACTGTCTTTCCAAATCCTTTGCCCATTTTTTTGTCTTTACTTATACTTGTTTATTTTTTATTGTGATTTGGGCGGAAGTTTACACAGCACATTGGTTTTTCATTCAACAGTTCATACACGTTTTGTGACATTGACTGTCACCTCCACAGTGTAACAGCACTGTTCCCACTTCCTCCCTGTGTTCACCGTTTCCTGCTGTCCTTCCAGCCGTCCCTTTCCTGCTGCCTTCGCATTATACCTGGGCAAATGCCACCATTTTGGTCTCTTACAGTTGATTGTTCTAAGGAGGAGGTACCTCCCTGGTGTTACTGTTCACCTTATAGGCCTGTCTGTTGTTTGGCTGAAAGGTGAGACTCGGGGGTGAGTTTGGTTCCAGTCCTTTGCCCATTTTTAAATTGTGTTATTTGTTGTTGTCTTGAGTTGTGAAAGTTTTCAGTATATTTGAAATGCAAGACCCTTACGAGATACGTGATTTGCACAGGTTCTCTCCTGTTCTGTGCTTTGTCTTTTTTCTTTCCTGATGGTGTCTTTTGAAGCACAGAAGCTTAAATTTTGATAAAGTCTAGTTTATCTATTTTTTTTGTTGTTGCTTATATGTTTGTTGTCGAATCTAAAACTGTTGCTGAATCCAAGGTCATAAAGATTTACACTTTTTTTTGAGCATTTTATAATTTTAGCTCTTACATTTAGGTCTTTGATCCACCTGAAGTTTGTTTTCCTATGTGGTGTGAGGTAGGGGTCTAATTTCATTCTTTTGCATGTAGCTATCCAGTTGTCCTAGCACAATTTGTTTAAAAGACTATTCTTTCCTCATTTAATTGTCTTGTCACTCCCTTTTGTAAATGATTGACCATAATGTGAAACTGTATTTCCAGATTCCCAGTTCTAGTGCAGTCATCTGTATGTCTGTCCTTAGGCCAGTACTATCCTATGTTGATCATTGAAGGTTTTGTAACCAAGAAGTATGAGTTTTCTAACATTGTTCTTCAAGATCATTTTAAGAATTCTGAGTCCCTTGAATTTCCACATGAATTTTTGGATCTGCTGGTCAAGTTTGGCAAACAAGTCAGTTGGGAATTTGGTGGGAATTGCATCAAATCGGTAGATCAATTTGAGAATATTGCCATCGTAACAGTGCTGAGTTTTCAGACCCATGAACATGGAATGTTTTTCCATTTGTTTAGGCCTTCTTTGATTTCTTTTAACAACGTTTTGTAGTTTTCAGAGTATAACTCCTGAATAAGGATTTTATTCCTTTTGACACCCGTGGGGACTCACAGGACTGAAGGTATAGTCACTCTCATGACTAACAGTTTTCTTCTTGATTTCCTTCTCTAGTAGATAGAGATACAGTTGACTTGTTTATACTGATCCCAAATCCTGCAACCTTGCTCAGCTGACTTAAGACTCACAATAATTTTTGAGTGGATTCCTTAGGATTTTCTATAGGTATGATCCTATCATCTGCAAATAGAAATAGTTAACATTTCATCTCCCACCTGGCATTCCCAAGACCATGCCTAAGTTTAGTGACTCACTCGGCGGCCTCACGGCACTGAGAGTATTGTCACTGTAGCTGATTCAGTGAAAGGACACATTGCAAGAGCCGCAGAGGGAGGAGGAGTGTGCAGCAGATTCCAGAGGGGCCAGGCATACACTTGCAGGGGTCCCCTCCCAGGGGAGTCACGCAGGACGTACTCCCTTTCCCCAGCAACAAGTTGTGACAGCTCCTGTGAAATGTTGGCAACCAGGGAAGCTCATCGGAGACTCATTGCTTGGAGTTTCGATGGGGGGCTGAGTAGGCAGCCTCTACTATTGTTGTTGTTGTTAGGGCCCGTCAAGGCGGTTCCGACTCACAGTGACCCTGTGTACAACAGAACGAAACACAACGTCTGCTCACACGTACCAAATCCCAGATTCTCAGAAGGAAGGCAGGTGTTCACATAAACCATGCTGTTTGTGCAGTTTACACACAGCGTGCCACTCTTAGAGCTCTGGTGAAGAATGGTGGAAACCTTCCCGAAATCCAAGTTCCCAGGTGCAGCCAAAGGTCAACTGTGTAAGCAGGTCTTTCTGAGGACCGCAGTCAGGCATGCCGGGTAACTCATTTCCACACACCTTGTCATTTCTGCTCTGTGTCATTGCCCTGGCTAGAACCTCTCCAGTCCAGTGATGAGTGGAAGTGCTAGGGGTGGTCATCCTTACGTTACTACTCACCATAGGGAAGAAGTCCAGCCTTCCCCGTTAAGTGTGATGCCAGCTGTCACGTTGAGGCTGCTGCCTTCCGTCCCTGGTTTCCTGAGTGTTTTTATCAGGTTCAGTTTTGTTCGATACCTTTTGTGCATCTATTAAGATGATCATGTGACTTATTCTGTTAATATAACATAGTATATTAATTGAGTGAAACCAGTTAATTTTGGTCATGGTGTGTAATCCTGTTTATGCATCATGAGATTTACCTTGGTAGAATATTGTTACACATTTTTTTTTATGTCTGTTTTCATAAGGAGCTCTGATAGCACATTGCCTAAGGCATTTGACTACTAACCAGAAGGTTGGCAGTTTAAATCCACCAGCTGCTCTGTGGAAGGAAGATGGGGCAATCATCTTCCATAAAGATTTACCGCCTTGGAAACCCAGTGGGTGTTGCTGTGAGTTGGAATCAACTTGATGGCAGTAGCTTTGGTTTTGGTTGATATTCATGAGAGATAATGGTTTATCATGTCCTTTTTTATAGTGTTTATGTCTGGTGTAATATCAGGTAATACTGGTTTCCTAGAATGATTTAGGAATTATTCCCTGTTCTCTTTTCTGGGAGGAATTTGTGAAGAATATGGACACTTAGTAGGGTACACCAATGTAGTCATCTCGGTCTAGACTTTTCTTTATGGGTAGTGTTTCCTTACTAATCCAGGCTCTGTTATAGGTCTACTCAGATTTTCTGCTTTGCACCTCTGTCTGTTAAGGAATTGGTCCGTTTCAACTAGGTTACCTCGTTTGGTGTCTACAGTTGTTCAGACTATTCCCTTGTAGTCTTTTCTATTTTTGTAAGGTCTCTAGTAACACCCTGCCTTTCATTTCCGGTGTTAGTACCACGAGTCTTCTGTTTTTTTTTCTTGGTCTGTCTAGATAAAGTTTGGTTGATTTCGTTGGTTTTTCAAAGAAACCACTTGTTTTCTGTCTCAGTGATTTCCTCTGTGGTTTTTCTGTTCCCTGTGTTGTTTATCTCAGTTCTAATCTTTATCATTTCCTTTCTTCTGCTAGGGAATTCTGGTGGTGCAGTGGTTAAAGCATTTGGCTGTTAACCAAGAGGTTGGCAGTTTGAACCTACCAGTGGTTCCACAGGACAAAGATGAGGCCATCGGTTTCTGTGAAGACTGACAGCCTTGGAGACCCTGTGTGCAGTTCCACTCTGTCCTCTAGGGACGCTGTGGGTCAGAATGGACTCCACGGCAGTGGGTGTGGCTTGGGCTTTGCTTCTGTGAAGAGTGATAGCCTTGGAGACCTTGTGGGCAGTTCCACTCTGTCCTCTAGGGGCGCTGTGGGTCAGAATGGACTCCACGGCAGTGGGTGTGGTTTGGGCTTTGCTTCTGTGAA